TCGCCGCACAGGCCAACGGAACACCCTTCCACTTCATTCTCGCTGCCTTCAGAGCCTTCCTCTTCCGCTACACCCAAGAGAAGGACCTTGTACTGCTCATGGTTGATGGCAACAGGCCCCACACGGATGCTGAAGACATCAACGGATTCTTTGTCAACCTGGTTCCCATCCGAGTCGAGGATGACTGCGAGGGAGCGACCTTTGACCAGCTCTTTGCCAACTGCAAGCAGCGAGCTCTGGAGAGCTTGGCTCACTCTGGTGTTCCCTTTGATACCGTGGTCGATATTCTGGGCGCGAAGAAGACCCCCAGCCACATGCCCGTCGGCCAGATCGCCGTCAACTACCAGGTCAGTTGAACTCCATAGCACCTAGCCTAATGCCTCTTACTAACAAGAAATAGATCCATGGCCCGACTCCTACATACTCCACCTCCGACTTCCAGATCAACAGCATGGTGACGGATGATATTCCCACTGCGGCAGACATGCAGCTCGAGGCACTTGAGACGTCTGACCACGCTCTGGACCTGCGCATCGAGTACTCCACCGCACTCTACAGCGAGGCAGACATGGAGCGCTTCCTTGACAACTTCCTCACCTTCCTGTCTGGTTGCATCAAGGACCACCGCCAGCCCATCGAGGAGGTCGGCATGTGTGGCGAGGTTGAGCTCAAGACGTTGGCAAACGAGTTTTGGAACACTGAGACCCGCGAGAACCAGTGGGAGGGAAAGAGCGTGTTGGTACGGAAATAAGCGTGTCCTATGAAACCTACAAAGTATTTTAGCTAATACTTTTTCTCTTTAATAAAGGACAAAATCTCCCAAATGGCACTCGAGCATCCCCAGAACACCGCGATCAAGACGTCTGACGGCTACAGCATCACCTACAAGCAACTGATCCGAGACGCGACCAGCGTGGCCTCGGAGCTTCTTCAAGCAGGCGTCAAGCCCGGTGACCACATAGCATTGCTTGCTTTCCCCGGCGTTGACGCCATTGTGGGTCAGATTGCATCTCTCATGACCAGGAGCTGCTACGTCGCTCTCGATACCGACTTTGCTCAAGACCGTCTCTCCTTCATGATCTCGGATGCCGGTAGCCGGGTTCTTCTAGTTGGCCCTGGCGCCGAGTCGCTTGCCAGTGACCTCACTTCCAAGGCCGTTGTTGCTCCTAAGGTGATCAGGATTACTGAAGCTGTCGGTGCTGCTCATTCTTCCACGCAGTTCAGCCCTCGCGAGGCTCAGGATCCATTCTACATGATCTACACCTCTGTAAGTTGCAATCCTTCATTGTTTGGTACAAAAGACTAATGAATTTTCCAGGGAAGTACCGGTACACCCAAGGGAGTTCTCCTGACCGAGGAGAACACCCACCAGATGCTTGCGACCCTGAACAAGGACTACTGTTTCACTTCGAAGGACAGATTCCTCCACCAATCATCCATGTCTTTCGATCTCTCGATTGTGCAGATCTACTCCGCTCTGACGGCTGGCGCGACTTGCTTGATTGCTGCATGGGAGACTCGCAAAGACCCTCATGGCCTTGCTTCTTTCATGGCGACCGAGGGTGTCACAACCACCTACTTCACCCCGACCCAGTTTGCCCTCCTTCTCGATCTCAACACTGAGGCTCTCAAGAAGTGCAACAACTACCGCGTCGCTTACTTTGCGGGAGAGAGATTGCCCGTCCGCGTAGCTCGCAGCTTCTACGACCTGAAGACCCCTGCGACTCTCTAGTAAGTAGAGCTGTATCTGCTGCCAGCATCTCGAGTCACAGAGGCTAATGGCTTTACAGCAACACCTGGTCCCCATCGGAGCTCATTGTCCAGACTTCCATCGCCAAGATTGAGTACCCCGCTGATGGCGAAGTCAGCCTGCCGATTGGCTTTCCTATGGACAACTGCCGTCACTACATCCTCGATACCAAGGGAAACCCTCTCCCCGCTGGCATGGTTGGTGAGCTAGTCGTAGGTGGCTCCCAGGTCGGTGCCGGCTACCTCAACCGCCCCGAGATCAACGCCAAGTCCTTTGTTGAGAACCCCTTCGCCAGCGTCGAGGATCGCAAGCGAGGCTGGACTAGAATGTTCAAGACGGGCGACCGCGGCTGCTTCCGCACTTCTGACAAGCAGCTTGAATTCCACGGCCGCATTGCCGGCGACAAGCAGATCAAGCTCCGTGGCTTCCGAGTCGATCTCGGCGAAGTCGAGCAGCGCATCTTCCAGGAGTCGCAGTCGCAACTCGTTGATATTGCAGTTATTGCTCGTACCGTCGAGGCCGGTCAAGAAGACCTTCAGCTGATTGCCTATGTGGTGCCCAAGAAGGCACTCGGTGCCGCCGAGAAGCAGGCATTCGTCTCGACCATTCACCGCAAGATCAAGCCCCATCTCAACGGTATGTGATCCGATACCTTTCCACTATTCAACGACTCCTAACGCTCTTCACAGACTACATGCTCCCTAACGCCTACAACTTCCTGACCAAGCTGCCTGTGACCATTGGCGGAAAGGTCGACCGCCGCAACCTCCTCAGCAGAGACCTCGAGCTTCTCTACCCGACAACTGCTACTACTGCCAAGCCTACCGGCGCAGCCAACGGCACTTCTTCCAGTGCTGGCGATCTTGAGACCTCCGTCATGGGTCTCTTCCGCGGCATTCTGGGAGACAAATACTCGGATGTGAACGACAACTTCTTCCAGCGAGGCGGCCACTCCATCCTCCTCGTCCGTCTCCAGGCCAAGATTAAGAAGCAGTACAAGATCGCGCCCACTCTGCCCCAGATGATCAAGGAACCCACCGCGGCCGCTGTTTGCGCCTTCATCCGTCGCAACAAGGGCGATGGTTCCGGCGGCAAGGCGGGGTTTGAGAACGTCATCAGCTGGAACGTCGAGACCAAGCTCCCCAACGATGGCCGCTACATCCCGCGGTACGGCGCCCCGCGCGTCGACCGCGATGAGCTCTCCAAGTTTCTGATCACCGGCGGCGAGTCCTTCATCGGACTTCACTTGCTCGCCGAGATCTTGACCAGCAAGCCGAATGCCACCGTCTACCTGCTCGGATCGATGGAGCGGATCGAGACGTCCGTCGTCGTGAGCGAGCTGACCAAATACGGCCTCATCAACGACCATAGCAAGAAGGGCGTCGTCTTGACCGAAAAGGACGTTCTCGGCCGCATCAAAATCGTCCCCGGCACCCTCTCCCAGCCCGGCTTCGGCCTCAGCAAGTCAGCCTTCCGCATCCTAGGACAGACCGTCGAGGCAATCTACCACCTGGGCGGCCACGTCTCCCTCCTCAAGACCTATTCCTTCCTGAAGCCCGTCAATGTCGCCCCCATCTTCGACCTCATCCGCCTCGCCGGCACGGGCGACCACCTCTCCGAGATCCACTACCTCAGCACCTGGTCCGTCGCGCACCTGCAGTCCTGGTCCCAGTCCAAGCGCACCCGCGCCGACTACGTCACGGCCGAGGAGGACATGTCCCACTTCCAGCCGCCGACCGAAGACGAGTTTGGCTACTTCAAGTCCCGCTGGGTCGCCGAGAACCTCCTCTGCCACGCCGCCTCCCGCGGCTTTCCCGTCACAATCACCCGCGCCTCGGCCGTCACGGGCTCCTCCCACAACGGCAACCTCGACCCAGCCGACGAGTTCACCCTCCGCATGATCCTCAGCATGATCGAATCCGCCAAGGTCCCGCAGATCGGCCAACCCAAGCAGCCCGGTTTCGCGGTCGACGTCGTGCCTGTCGACTACCTCGCCCAGGGCTTCCTCGCGCTCACCTCAGAGAAGGAGGCTCTCACCTCCAGTGCTACCAACTACAACAAGCCGCACATCTACCACATTGGTAACCACTCGCCCCTCAAGCTCGCCGACCTGCCCGAGATTATCGCGACGCTGCGGGCCGACGGTAAGCGCGGCGAGGTCGTCTCGCTCGACGAGTGGCTCGTGTCCATGGACAAGGGCAACGCCGACGAGGCGGCCGTGCGCAACACCGTCCTGAAGGAGTACCTCGCGACGGGATATGTCATGTTCTCACTCGACAACAGCAAGACGTCGGCCTTATTAGAGAATTTGGTGCCCGGGCTCGACGAGAAGTGTCCTGCCGTGGACGCCTCGTTCCTCGGCCAGCTCTGGCAGCGAATTAAGAAGGCCGAAGCCGGAGCTCAGGCATAAGGTGTAAGAGTGCTCGTGATGAATGGGGCTTGAACTCGCTGCCTGGTGTGTGAGGGTATATATTGAAGCATATGCTTCTGGCTGGTTGGCTGGGTGTATCATATTGCGTGGGTGGTGGTTGTACGATACGTGGCTGTACATTTCTTTCTCTTTGTTTTTTTATTTCTTTTGTATTTGCACAAACCCAAGATTGTAATGTTTTTTGTATTAATATCTAGACTGTACTTGTATCAGGGCTAGACGGAGTTGTCTGTTTTATTACCTACTAGAGCTAGATTGTAAAATGATGTTATCTTGTACCAACTTTGGCATGAGCTCTTCCCATGATGAGAGCCCGTGAGGTATGCAAATGTAAATGGTGCTCATCTTTCAAGACGACAAGAAGAAAGCAAAAAGGTACGTATCTTTTCAGGGTCCGCAGAGAAAAAGCCAGGCGGGGTGGCGGGGTCCGTTCGGTGAGGTCGGTGAGCGATAAGCGCATGGGGACCCACTGAAATTTTCTTTGGGTTCCAGGTTCCTTCGTTTCCCGTCGCCTTCGCAACAGCTACTTTTTCCCTCCCTTTCTTCACCGTCGCCCGAGTTGAAACGATTCGAGGCCGGAAACCCCCCCCCTCCAACGCAACACCACCGCACTACCTACTACATTTCAATCAGAACGAAAGAAGGTACTCGGGAAACGGTTGAGACAACGGCCGCTTTTCCTGAATCATTTCTTCCACCGCGAACGAAAGAAAGGAACCTTCGAAACCCACCTGCCGAGAGCAACGTCCCGACCGGAACCAAACACCACACACATACACACACACACACACACACACACACACACACACATACACAAAGATGGCACAAGGCGGCGTCAAATCCGCCTCGCGGCCCGCGCCGACGGGCAAACCCAAACACAAGCAACTCAAGAACGCCTCCCGCGTAGCCAAGCCCCAAAAGGCGAAAGCGCACTCCTCAGCGGACAAGATGCAGAAAAAGATGGCCGCGGGTCTGACGTCGCGGACGGAGAAGCTTCTGGGCGAGCGGGCGGGTCATCTGGAGCTCATCGGCAAGGGGAAGAAGGCGAAGAAGGAGGAGAAGAAGGGCAAGGGGGGGTTGCAGGCGACTAAGGGGGGTAGCCGGAAGTATGGTTAAGACTGGGCGGGCGTTTCTCTTACCAACCTACCTCTCGAACCCTCCTCTCCTACTGGTTTTTGAGGGGTTTGGTGAAGGGGGTGCCGGGGGAGACGGTTTGGAGTTCTTTTGGTCTTTTTTCCTCTGCTGAGGAGGATCGATCGACTGGAGGGAGGAGGGGATGATGGTGAATGTTCAAAGTGTTGGCTGAGATGAATGGGTTGAGCAAAACGAGAAGCGTGGAGTATTCTCCAAGGTGAAGCCCAGCGTCTGAGAGCCTGCCTAAGACAAGGCCACAACAACTACGAAAAGGAAAGGGGGTTTAACGACTAGATACCCTCGCATAATCGACAAACATGTTTTCTGTTCTAAAACCAACTGTCGTGATACACAAACGCCGACCCCTCTTGGCGAAATTTCGCTTTGTCTCAGAGCTGCAAGGTGAAAGGTGCGGCCAAGAGGGAGAATGTAGAAGCATGATGGCTCTGTTGGACATACTCTTGAGTCCACTTTAAGCGCATGGATAAAGTAGCCAGTGCAGCCATCCAGTCCAGGCAAGTTGCATGTTCTGTAGCCCTCAGATGTCTTCTTGACAGCAATCCCCCCATATCTTCCACACCCGTGCTTGAAAACCTTGGCTGAACGTCCAAAGAAGCGTGGTCACTCAAAATCTGTAACTTACTGCAACAGGGCCAGTTCCGACTCGTCCGCATACTGCTGACATTGTTTGGTGATGGGGAATGCATGTGCCACGAGCCAATGGAAAGACTCGTTTTGTGTAGCGTCATAAAATCTGGGAGACGATGGCCATTTTTTGGTGTAATCATCTTCTCGATGATACATGACGCCCAAGTATGGTTCGGAAAAGCAAAAAAACGAGCTATCCATGGCATTATGTAGGACCGTGAGCCAACATACGATAGAATCGTACCGCTCGGCGATCGACTACAACAGACGGTGCTTTTTGAGAGACACTCCTTCTTTGGTGCCAATAAGTGATCGGATGAGAGCTATCAGGGTACTTAAGGCAGAAAGTATTCATGTTCAGGGGAGAATACTCTGAAGCTAAGGCAGGACGCTGAGTGCTATCTTTTGCATGAGAAAACTGCATTGAAACATCACGATGTCGAGGAAGCTGTCAATGGCCATGACGGATTCGTCCACGGCTTCTGTCTCACCAGATTACACCTGTACATGTTTAGACTGAAGAAAGCTGAAAAAATCATACAACTTGTAGAAACCTCAAAGATGTCAAATATATTAGCGAGAACAGTATCGTAGAAATCAGCAGCGGAAAGCTTAACTAGAAGATGACCGCAGCCACAAGGATACGCGAAGAACCCTATTGCGAGATCTGGTAGAGGTTCCGCGTTCAACGCCTGCCAAAATCATTTCGTTGAGAGTACCTAGAGGTGGAAACCACTGAACCACCGATCGGTGTTCCGGGCACATGCCCGGCTTCGGCGCCGCTGAATCCGGAGTGGGGCCCGTCAAGAAGCTATCATTATCATCGTGCACTGGCCCACCACTGTAACCCCGCGTCCCCGCAGTCATCGCTAACCGCCTAATTCCATCGTAAACCGCCGGCGACTCAAGAACCCCTCCATTACCACACCGGAGCCGACCGACCGGGAACGCAACGGATGCCTGCCTATCTCGTCGACACCGAGTCCACATCTCCGGAACCTTGAACGATATCTCATAAAGCTCAACCCCGCCGTTATTCAACTTCATAGTCACCACCTTTCTCTCTCACCCTGTTATCTCAGTGCTCACAAAGAACCCCGCACCATCCGGCCAACATGTCTCTCTCAAACGAAGATTGGGAGGAGCTCCGCCAAGACATCCCATCCGTCTCTGATCCGTTCATCACACAGTACATCAAAGGCCGTGACGCCCTCATCGCCCAGGAGCACAAGAGCCGCGCCGACGCCTCCTTCAAAGGCGCCGCGTCCCCCATCGCCCGGCGCGCAGCAGACATCGTCTCCCGCATCCGCGACGAGGAGAAGCGGACGATATGGAACGCCGAGACGGAGGAGGACATCGCCACCACCGAAGGTCTGGCGCCCTTCCCGGGCATGATGTTCACGCTCGCCAAGCAGCGCCTCGAGACGACCCGGCTGTGGCGCATCGTGCAGAGGATGCCAAAGGGGTCGCTTCTTCACTCCCACCTGGATGCCATGGTGGACTTTGATTTTTTGTTTGATGTCCTGCTCAAGACGCCTGGTATTCACTTTGCTGCGGACGAGCCTCTGTCCAACGACGCGGCGAGGTCAAATGCCAGCGTACACTTTCGGTACAGAAGGGCGGAGACGAGTTCAAGGCCCGTTTGGGAGGACGGATACGTCCCTGGCGAGTTTCGGCTGTTGACCACGGCGGCGGATGAGTATCCCGACGGTGGAAGGACGGGGTTCCTCAAGTGGCTCAAGGCGCGCTGCACAATCACCCTGACGGACACCTATGAGCAGCATCACGGCATCGATGCTGTCTGGCGCAAGTTTACCTCATGCTTTGGCGTCACCAACACCATTATTCACTACGAACCAATCTTCCGTGCTTTCCTCAAGAGATTGATGGCGTCTCTACTGGCAGATGGCATCTACTGGATCGAGCTGAGGTAAGGAGAATCGTCCTCGTCCCACAGCGAAATGATGTACTGACCCTAATAGATTCACTTGGCCGCTCAACTACTGCCGCGACCAGCAAGAAGAACCGGAAAAGGACTACAACCACATGTTCCAAGTAATGGAAGAAGAGCTCGCCCTCTTCAAATCCGACCCGGCCCACGCCGCCTTCTGGGGCTTCCGCACCATCTGGACAACCATCCGCCACCTCCCCGTTCGCGACATCATCGAGAGCATGGACAACTGTATCACCACCAAGATCTCCTGGCCCCACCTCATCGCCGGCTACGACCTCGTGGGCCAAGAAGACCTCGGCCGGCCCCTCCGCGACCTCCTCCCGGAACTCTTCTGGTTCCGCAAGCAGTGCGCCCAGGAAGGGGTCAACCTGCCCTTCTTCTTCCACGCCGGCGAGACCCTCGGCGACGGCGATGAGACGGACCAGAACCTCTACGACGCCATCCTCCTCGGCACGCGACGCATCGGCCACGGCTTCTCCCTCTACAAGCACCCGCTGCTCATCGACATGGTGAAAGAGAAACGCATCCTCGTCGAGTCGTGTCCCATCTCCAACGAGGTCCTCCGCCTCTGCGGCTCCATCATGTCGCACCCCCTGCCCGCGCTGCTCTCGCGCGGCGTCTCGTGCGCGCTGTGCAACGACGACCCGGCCATGCTGGGCCAGGACACGGCGGGCATGTCGCACGACTACTGGCAGGCGCTGCAAGGGTGGGAGAACGTCGGCCTGCTCGGGCTGGGCTCCATGGCGGAGAACAGCGTGCGGTGGTCCGCCTTCGAGGACGAGACGCCGGCGGAGTGGACCGAGGGGATCAAGCAGGCGAGCCTGGGCTCCGGCGTCAAGGCGCAGAGGCTCAAGCTGTGGGAGACGGAGTGGGAGAGGTTCTGCCTTTGGGTCGTGGATGAGTTTGGTGATGAGGCGGACAAGGCGTGAGAGGAGAAAGCGAGGGTCGGGAGTGAGGCAAAAGTTTTCTGTGGGAAATTTGTCGTCCAGTAGACTGTGACGTTACTCTGGACGAAGTTGCATCCTTTTCTTTTCAACAATCGAGACGGCGCGGCGCGTGGGGATTGGTCGCGGAGGGGGAAGGGCGTCTGAAAGCGAACAAGGCAAAACCGGGTTTTCGGCACGGGCGAAACGAGGATATGGGAAACAACGAAATTTTCAACAGAGCGCCATGATTATTGGTTGGGGGGGGGGGG